GAGAAGGGGCCTTTTCTGTGGTGCCTTTCTGCTTATGGGATGCCTCTCCAGGGAAGCTCGCCTGGCACCATCATAACATGTATTTAAACACCAAGCAAAACCTTTCCTCTGTAACAAGCCTTTTGGCCCTTAACTATCTGTGGCCTTTTAGAATTGGGCAGGATGTTTTCAATGTCTGTCCTCCCCACTGGTTTTAATATATTTAATATATTGATGTGGGGTGGTTTTTTTGGTTGGTTGTAAGTCGCTTTGGTTTGCATTGGGCAAGATAAAGCAGCTGTCACATTTAAGATCATGGTGGTGGTGGTACAAGAGTAATACTCAGCCTTCCCTGTGGACTTCAGATGGGTAACAGCTGAATGGTAGAAAATAACGTTAGGATGCTTCTTTGTGCTCGACAGGTGGACATGTTGAGTGAGATTAATATTGCTCCACGGATACTCACCAATTTCACTGGAGTGATGCCACCTCAGTTCAAAAAGGATTTGGATTCCTACCTCAAAACCCGTTCTCCAGTCACGTTCCTGTCCGACTTGCGTAGCAACTTGCAGGTGAGGGGCTCACTCAAAAATCAGACTGAGGAAGAGGGCTGGGAGTGGAGGTTAGCATGCAGTCCTGTGTCTGCTGTGTCTTTTGCTCCAAAACAGGCTTTTAGGTCCTCTGTCTAAAGCAGGGCTCATCAACCTTATTTGGGGCTGTGGGCAGTTCTGGAATTTTGAGATTGTCATTCTTTTACTCCTCCCCAAACAGAGATTTTCTTTACTTTTTTGTGGGGGGATATTTGGGTAAAAATGAGATCCAATAGGCTTAAAACGGATCTTCTTGAATTTGCAGAGTTTTACATGGAGTCCCTTAAAAACAACTATCAGATTGAGGCTTGCAGTGGTGGACCCACAGTAAAAATCATAGATCTGGTGCTTGCCAGATGCATAGTTTAGTCATCAAAGAGAGGAAAGATCCCAGTTCAGCCCTGATCCCACTGCAGAATGTGTCATACATTAAAGAGACATAAATTAGGAAAAGATCAGTTTTACCTGGCCCAGATAATGCATCCTGATGGAGCTGTGGGTCTCTGTTTAGCAATTTTTTACTATATTGTAATGCATGTATCTTTGAAAAAACTAGTACCTAGTTGGGGATGGATTGTGCAGCAGCAGTGATAGAAGAGATAAGAGAAACCTGACTGCTGTTAAAGCTAATGGCTTTGGCAGACCTTTTAGTGAGTTATACTCTGCAGTTTAAACATTCGTAATCACATAATATATTTTCTTCAGGGCTCTTTGTCTCAGAGGTCCAAGGCAGTGATTTTGCCTCTTTTATGTTCACCCCACTAGGTATCAAATGAGCCTGGCAATCGCTACAATATCCAGCTGATAAATGCCCTGGTGCTGTATGTAGGTACTCAAGCTATTGCACATATTCACAACAAAGGCAGCACTCCTTCCATGAGTACCATCACCCACTCGGCTCACATGGATATCTTCCAGAATCTTGCTGTTGACCTGGACACAGAAGGTGAAAAAGGAAGCTTGATAGTACTTCAAATCAGCTAGCCTAATGTTAAATCAGATGCAAGAGGTTTATCTCTAGGTCTTTGGCTATGGGGGGAAAAAGAGCCTGGGAAATCAACCTGGTGAGGTCAGACATAAATACTGTATAATTGATAATGTGCTAGCCTTACAATTGATACTGGGCTTCAGAGGCTAGCTGATAATTGCAGGTATTGGTGTTCTATGACAGAATCAATCCTGTATCTCACCATTTAGCCCACATGGATAAAACTTTGCTTTAATTTGGCCAGATTGTACCCTAAAATATTGTTAGATTTTAGAAATTATGTTTAAAATATTCCGCAACTAATATATAGAAAGGGTTTATTTAGTTCCATCTAAGTGGTGGGGAACTTCTAGCCCAAGGGCCAAATGTGGTCCTCCAGACCTCATCACTCCCCACCCCCAGCCTAGGCCATGACCCACTCTCCTTGGTTGAGTTTGCCAGCTTGGAATGTGTCCTTGAACTGTGATGATGCCTCTCGCTTGGCTGTATGGAGAACAGAGTTAGTTGTATGTATCTGTAGAAACCGGTTACTTTTACATAGCTGGAATGCAGCTTAATGTCAAATCAGTTGCTTTTGCTTTTGATCCCACCCCTGGCATGTGGCCTCCAGGCCGCAAAATGTTGCCCCTGCCCCTTGTGTAAGCAAACAGGTTTATGAAAATGAATTACAAACTAGGAAACTTTGAGAAGTGAGCCTGGGAAATTCATGTCAACTGGTGGCAGCACCCATTTAATTAACCTTCCCGGCTTTCGGACATAACTCTTGGAACTAACAAATTAGCCAGGCAAGGACTGTTGATTTCCTTTGCGTTTAAGAGAATCTTAACTATTTACCTTTTTTGTGTTCCAGGTCGGTACCTCTTCCTAAATGCAATTGCCAATCAGTTACGGTACCCAAACAGTCATACTCACTATTTCAGCTGCACCATGCTTTACCTATTTGCAGAGGCCAACACTGAAGCTATTCAAGAACAAATCACCAGGTAAGAGATCTAAGGACTCTAAAACAATCCCTACATTGCCTAGTTCTCACAAAAGAGCCAATGAGGAACTGGGGAGAAGCTTCAGGAGGTAACACTTAGTTGGTCTACTGCCATCTGAAGCTATCCTGCCCAGCAACCAGTAAGAAAGTGGCTTGTCCCCGTTTCAGCAGTAGCAAGTCACTGCTGGCAATGTAACAAACACTCTAAGCTTTGCCCCTCTTATCCACATATAGAGTAGGACTTCCAGTGTTGATTAGAGGGTTCACATGGTTTGAAAGGCAGCTGTTGAGGTGGTTGCAACAATTCCATGCAAGGATCCTTATCTGGATGGAGGAGCATTCATCCCCACAAATCTGCAGCCAGAGTCTGCAGTGGTGAAGCCTAGAATCAAGTTTCCCACTCTCACATTATATTGAGAAGCAAAGTCTTCCACATTCTGAAAGCAGCATAGTGCTAATTAATGTTGCCAGACGCAATCCCATGAGGGTACCTATTCTCAGCGGGACCTTGATATTCCTGCATCATGTCTTTCATACTGGCACGAGGTGTGACTTTCCCCATGCCTTAATCTGTTTCTCTTTTACAGAGTTCTGCTAGAACGACTGATTGTAAATAGGCCTCACCCATGGGGTCTCCTTATTACCTTCATCGAGCTGATTAAAAACCCAGCATTTAAGTTCTGGAATCACGAGTTTGTCCATTGTGCTCCAGAAATTGAAAAGTGAGTAATTTTAAACAGTTAGTTGTTCAGTGTATTTGGGGGACTCAGTCCTAGGAACTCTGGTACTTGCAGAGGAGAGGAAGTTGTGCCTTGAAATTAAGTTTATTCTCCTTGTTGTAGGTTGTTCCAGTCTGTTGCGCAATGTTGTATGGGGCAAAAACAGGCACAACAAGTAATGGAAGGAACTGGAGCTAGTTAGAGAAAGCAACCACCCTGGAAATTGTGCCAGCCTGGAGATCTCCATCCCATCAAGCTGACAGAATAATGTGTGTGGGTCTAGCCAGACCTTGGAGGCTGCCTCTCCCTCCCCCATGTTGGGCTTACATCACAGATCTTTGTGTGAGAAATCTCCTCCTCTGTGGGCATGTTCCAAAGTTTTAAAAACAAAAAGTTTTGACTCTTGGCCAAAATTCAGAAGATGCTGTGAATATAATTTCAAACTATTGTAAATATACAGAACAGAAATATTTGTCTGAACTTTGGGTTTGTGCGAATTGTGTTTCAAGAGAGGCACATACCGTGTGCCTGACCAGCCTGTAATAGAAGTGGTGGCTGCTGATGCCAAGTGTTTTGTCTGGGGCAGATCTGCTCTCCTGACATTCCCAGACTCCCAAAGAATATGGAAAAGCCAGTTTAAATATTATGTAACTTATTTTTCTTGTGGGTGGGAGACCTGTAAATCACAAAGTTGTCAAAGAGGGGGGGAATGGATGCATTGGAGCACAGGATCCTACAGTATATGGGGGACTGGGTGGGGAAAAGTTAGGATTAGGGTCCAGTATATTGCTTTTCCCAGTATCAAATGCTGCCAGCAAGAGGCACGAATGTTGGAGCGGAGGACTTCCTTTGTTTTGATTGGCAAAGATATACTTTGGGCCCTTTGGGAGAGGGCTAGTGGGTTTAGCAAAGGAAACAAGAGACCAGGCCTGTAGATTTTCTTTCTTGACACTTGTAAATTTTGGGATGGGGAGGATGTGAATCTGTTAACTGCTCCCCTGTGGCCACAAAGTTTGAGTTTGTAAAAAGAACAAAAAGGACCAATACAGCCCATTTTGTAAGGATTTTGAATGTTTTGTAAATGTATTGGTCCACGTGTTGTATTTTGTAGCCTTTCTAGTTCTCTTGGGCTTTAGTTCTCCCACTTCTTGTATGTATGCATTCTGTAGTTAAACATTAAAGTCATGAAAAGCAGCACATGTCCATGTTTTCTCATCATCTATGACGAATGTTGTTAATGTTCTTCACTGCTTATATTTTCAACATAAATCTAATTCCTTTTTATACGATCAAGGTGCAGTACATCAATCTAATATATTGCTACTTTAATTAACATGTTTAACTGCTATCTTAAGAGGATAAAATTGAGGCATCAGTAAAATGTAAGCAAGAATCCTATTCTTGCTGATTCCCTGGGCAGTTAAGTGGGCTTCCAATAAGGGGAGTTAAAAAAAACAACCACCTAGGAGCTTTCACTTGGAGGTACCATCTCTAGGCCTGAACATGTGCACTAAGTGAGCAACCAAAGGGCCAGAGCAGGATGTACACTAGGAGGTGGCCCTTCTACCTTCAGATGGCATGAATTAGGGTTCAAAAATGAATAGTCCTGGTGCTGTAGTCACCATCGAGGATTTACGGGGGAGAGAATACTCTGTAAATAGAACTGTCCAGTACACCATTTGACCCCATTCATCCTTAGCTCCTCAAAGTGTCCATTAAAGTGGCAATAACACAGGTTTCTCACTTATCAATACAAATAAATTTTATTGTTTAAAAACTCCAAGCCTAGTCAAACTATACATCTATGCAGCTCATCTGGCCAGAGGTGGGATGGGAAGAAGGTTGGAAAAAGTAAAAGATTCTACAAAGGCATTCAAAATGTAAAATATAATAATAATAGACTTAACAATGATAATGTTTTTAGGAACATTTTTTCAACTTCAAAGAAGCATGAACATTCCCAGGGATGAGGAAGAGCATCTAGACAGTAAGCAAATGAAACATGTTAATCTTTGTTCAGCAGTGCAAACATCTGCATCTAGGGTGCTAGATCTGATCACAGTCCTTCAGGAGAGGGGGACATCCCATATAACTAATGCCATATTTACTGGGTCTCACAGGTGTTGTAAACTTGGCCATCTTACCAGCTGATTTAATGTACAGGGGGTCCTAAGAGGTGGGGAAACTGGCTTTCCAGGTGTCCTTTGACTCCAACTTCCATTAGTCTCAGCTGGCCTGGCCTGGCCCATAATGGTCAGGGATGATTGGAGTTGTCCAAATGCATCTACAGAAACACAGATTCCCCAGTTGTGTCAATTCTGTGCTGTGTAAATTGGTAGCCTTATACAGAACAAGGATTGAGTGACTTTTCCTAGGTTGCCCAACCTCAAGGATAATTGTTGGAGGCCACTTTAGATGCAAAACATTCCCAAAAAAAGGAGCTTCAAACACATTTATTGAATTGGCAGGCACTACTGGCTCATATGGCTAAAGAGTGAATTAGATAAAATTAATGAAGGCCACAGTAGCTGCACTATGACATGGAATGTCTTGTGCAGAGACAGCATCTCCTGGAGTACCAATTAAGAAGCAAGCCACACTGAAGGCTTGTGGCCTGCAGGTTCCAATTTCTCAAAAACAAAACTAGGAAGATGTTTGCCGTCCTATTATTTCCCACTGCTATGTCCTTCAGATTCAGAAACAGATATTGTCTTTTGCTACCTGCGGATGTAATTGATACTCACAGAAACACATTTTTATATAAAAATAAATGCCTCTGCCTTTATAGAAACCTTTAGCTAAGCCTCCCAGGCCAACAGCACTTGCCTTCCTCAGCTGCAGCTAGCTTGTTAGCTCCAGCAACTGGTGCAAAATCATCTTCTGGCCATAACGCACTTGCAGGGCAAACTTCTCCCGGCAGCTTAGTTTTGAATAAGCTTGAGGGTCTCTGAGCATTTCTTCCTCTGCTTTTAAGTCTGAGCTGTATGACTTCAGGGTTAGCAGTGTAGCATCAAAGAGCAGCTTCTTCCAGGAGGTTTCAAGCCTTGGTATAGTAGTATTTGAGAGCATCAGGAACATAGCACCATCCTCGCCTGCTTTGGGTTCCTGGGTCTCTTGCTCCTTAAACTCCTTGAACTCATCTGCAGACATAGTCAGCACCTATGGCCACAAAGAACTGGGATTATTGAGAGCTACCTTCTTGGTCTCTTAAGTAACTTCAAGGCATCAACAGCCCCACAGATGTCGGTAAACATTCTCCAAAAGGGATCCTGCTGTTGCTTCTCAGGATTTAAATCTATGGACCTTCCCCTCTCCCAAGTTAAATTACATTCTGGAAGAGATTCATAATACAATGAAGTAAATTTGTGAGAGCATCTTGCAAAACATTAAAATACGACGTTTACATAATTGGGGAGGGGGACGGGACACTTGCTAGTTTCCATAGGCAGAATTTGGAGGAACAGCAGACGCAAGTCATTCAAAATGTTTTGAAATTAAGTTTCCATTGAGACAACTGGAACAGGCAGCAAGAAATATAAATGTGTATAAAGGAACACAGCATTTAATCCATGTATGTAACTTGGTTAGTGATTATGTTCAAAGCAAAAGAAACTACCATGGTACCTTGGTACTTGCAACGGCTTGGCTCCCGAACACCGCAAACCCAGAAGTAAGTGTTCCGGTTTGCAAACATTTTTTGGAAGCCAAACATCCAACGCAGCTTCCGCTTGAGTGCAGGAAGCTCCTGCATCCAATCGGAAGCCGTGCCTTTGTTTTCAAACGGTTTCGGGAGTGGAACTGATTCCTGGAATGGATTAAGTTTGAGAACCAAGGCACCACTGTATATATTAGTACTAAAACTGTCCTTTGACAAGCACCTGCAGGAAATTTGGCAGACTATTTAGAGCTCAAGGTCAGTGAGGCTGTTGGCCCCCAAAAGCCACAGAGAAAGAAGTCCCAAGGGATGGAAGCAGAATCTCTCTAGCCACATTTCTCCCTTTCCTGGGAACAATGACAGCACCACAGAAGATACGTCATTGCCACACAGCATAAAAAGTTGAGACCTGTCCCATTCATTCCACTACAGAATATACCGCTGATTACATGGGGAAGGGGTGGTTGCATAAAGAGAGAACGTGGTGGAAGCTGCCTGGGACTTCAGCAGAAAGCAACAACTTAAAGAGTCTCAGTGGAAGAATTTGCACGCCATGTAGCAGAACTCGTGAGAGGTGGAATGAAGGCTGCTTCCTACATTTTCTAAATCCTGTCCATTAAAATAGACAGCAGTAGCAGGCCAAGAACACATGTGCACATCTTCACCCTAGTCCAGCAAGTGAGCCAGCCCCTGGAGGAAAGAACACTTGCCCAACTATGGTAATAGCTTCTCCATTGCCGGCTGTGCCCTTCCTTAGGAGGCATCCCAGAACCCAGGGATAGGGAGGGCTTGCACAAAAACATCAAAGCACACAGACAGCTCACAGAGCGACATCTGCAATGGGCAATGCTTCCAGTGGAGACAGGCCCTGGAAAGACTTCAAAATGACCAGTGCATTGTGGGAGGTGTGTTTTTGTGCTGCCTCCAGCAAAAAACAAAGCACAGCTGCCCCCTCCCTTGCAATCTATAGACTGACAGAGGAATTTGCTCCTTACCCAGCCAGCTAAGACTGAAGCACTCTTCTCCTATTCTGGGGCTGCAATGCCCAGGTGCCAAATTGGCATAAGGAAGCCCCCGAGCAATCTCAAGCCTCCCTGCCTGCCACTGGAAGAAGCCTTCACAAGTCACACCTCCACTGACCAACAGAGAGGAGTTGTCCTCCCTCCATCTAAACTGAAAGAATCTTCAGATTAAGTCCAACATGTCACCCCTGTAAAGTAAAACTCTTGTCAACTGCTTAAGTAATCACAGCAAGCATGTACGGGAGTAAAATGGCCTCCCAGGAGTCTAATGGCGCAGCAACCAGTCAGAGCCCTCACCTTCAATGCCATGGCCAGCTCTTCTTCAGTTAAGACTCTCTCCCAGCTGATCACAAAAGCCCCTTCCTCACCCACCATCTCCATCTGGCAGAGAAAGTCCCACTGCTCCAAGACCAGCTGCCATTGAGCTTCTGTCTTTGTAGCTGGTGGAGGGAGAGGGAGACAAAAGCAGCAGGTGCAGGTTCAACAGGCAGCAGAGGGAGCATTGGCTGCAGTCAAAGCAAAGCATCATTTCGTCTAATCCAGTGTAGTGCCGCAGCTAACAGTGCCTGGCAGGGGCCAGAGAGGCCCAGCTTCAAGTCCTCACTCAGTCCCAACAAGACTTTGGATTGCATACTCAGCCTAACTTGTCCCACAGAGTTGTGAAGGGGGGGGAGGGGGAGACTAAAAACCTTGAATGCCATCCAGAGCATCATGGAGGAAAGTTCCATGCCTTCAGATTATTTTGTTTTAAATTGGCATTATAACCCAGGAGGCGTTATGCAAAATTGGGAAGCAAAGTAATCAAGCTGTTCTGCTCTGGATGCCACCAGCAGCTGCAGACGTCACATACAAACACCTGTATTTAAATGCAGCCTCCGCCTAATTAAAAACACAGCTGGAAAAAGCAACACAGGGTGACAGACAGATGGATTTTCAGATATCCTCTTACTCTGCTGATTTAGGTTTCTTTTTTAAAAAAGTGTCTCCTGGCCAGCCTCTTGCCTTGCAGTGCTGCTTTGCGTAGTGTCAGCATCTGGATGTCAGCAGCATCGTTTGTGTTGCCAGGATACGGTTCAGCAAAGCCATACATGTGGAGGAGCTGCCAGTTTGCCATCTCCCCATAAGTGTTGAAGATCTCTTGGCCTTTGCAGATGGACTGAGTCGCAACCATTTTCAATACCTCCTGCAGACAAAAGAGGGAAGTAAAACTTGACAGATCCTGACCAGCCCTGAGAATCTTCCAAGAAAAAGTTTTCCTCTGCCCCACTCATCTCCTGCAGTTTTCTCTACTCCTGCAATGTGTGCAACAGATGACGAATAACAAAAGGGATGCAGTTGGAGGAAGAAGACAGAAGGTAGAGCAGCAGACGTCTTCCCTGTTTTTCACTCTTAGGAAGCATTGCCTTACACTCCCAAGCATTCCCCTGAAATACACCAAATTTGCTGTGAATGCTCTTCGGAGACAAGAGAAAATTCTGGAGAGGGATGTAAGAAAGCAGAGCCTCCCACCCATCTGCTGCCGAGAAAGGACACTCTGTGGAAAGGCTGCATGAGGGATGGGGGAGCTTTTTAGCTCAGTGGGCCAAACTGTTCTCTCTCCAACCCCTTTTGGGCCTGGCAACCCCATGGCGTCACAGGGGTCTTCAGAAGTCCTTCTCAAAGCTCTATTTCATGCAGCACTCTGAAATAGGCTTTGTAGGCCCTGTCAACCAGCTGATGAGTAGTGCCTGCATTGGCTGAACCAGGCCTTTACCTACCCCCTATTTGCTCCCCAAAAGAGAAGCAATACCCTAAGGAACCACTGCAGGTGATGGGCCTGATAGGTGAGACCCATGCATGCCCAAATACAGCTGCTTCCAAAGTGATGAAAACAGAATCCAAGCACCAAAAATCAAGGGTGCACCTGAGAGCTGAATCAAGGGTGTGCCTTCCTTTGGCTACTGCAGAGCTGCATCAAGGACGAAGAGTCCTCTGGTCTGAACAAGTCATAACACATATGATGGGGACTGTGGCTCAGAGATCTCCAGGAAAAAAACCACTTGGCCCTTTGAAAAGTCACACCTCAGGGAATAGATCTGAAAGACCGGGGGAGGTTGGCGTACACATACGTACGTACGTATGTACGTACACACACACACACACACGGGCTCAACTGCATCTAAGCTCTGTATGCTCCGCTCACTGGTGAATATTCCAAGTTGGCATTGTGGTCAGCCACGTGATTCAAGAGATCTGCCATGGGCACCATCACTGGGGGATTGGGCTCCTCCTCATCTTCCTCTTCTTCATCCAAAGGCTCCTGGAAACTAGTGGGGAACAAAGCAGGGAGATACTAGACCGAGGCAGCTTTAAGTACAGCCAAATCATGTTGAGGTTGGTGAAAGGGAAAGAGATGCACATGGCTCTGAAAATAGCTACTAGTTTAGAAACTGCAACACACAATCCAAGAACTGCCCCTGAACTCAATCTGAGCTTTACTGTAAAGAGCCTCATCTAGGGTGCCCAAGCAGCATAGAACAGTCTTTTTCAACCTTAGGTCCCCAAATGTGGTTTGACTAAAAACCCCATCATCCCAAGTGAGAAGGACCAGCAGTCAGGGATGATAGGAGTTATGGTCCAACCACATCTGGGGACCCAAGGTCGAGAAAGGCTGTTCTAGGCTGCTTGGGCACCCTAGATAAGGCTCTTTAAATTAAAGCTCTAGGAGCTGCAGGACATTACAGTTAAAAAGTGGAGCATCTTTCTCCAGTAAAACCTAAGTCTGCTCCTCTAACATGCATTATTTGTTCATTTGTATATTACTGCCTCAACATACCAGTTTACATGCATGCTCAACTGTAAAGACAGTCACTAGAGCAGAGATGCGGAACCATTTCCAGTCTGAAGGCCGCATTCACTACAGGTGCAACCTAGGAGGGGCCAGAGGCAAAAGAAGGCAGAGTGAAGGATGGAAAGCTTAACTTCCCACAGGAGGCTCATTTCTACACATACTCCCTCAAACCCCATCCTTCATCCAAGCAAACAAGAAGCATTATCAGAGTTCAAAGACACATTACAGTCAGGCAAAAACATTCAAATAAGATGTAAAGCAGGGCTACTGATAGGCACAGCCTGGGGAAGAGTGCCAAGGGCCAGCAGAGGGCCAGGTAGGCACATTTGCCCTCTGGGCCTGTGGTTCCCCATCCCTGCTGCGGTTTATGCAAGGAAAGTTCCAACTGTCCAAGGCCAGAGATGTGGAAAGGAAGAGAGGCACAGGAGTGACACTTCTCTTCTTTGTTGATAGGCAACGTTTGCTTTTCTGCCTTCTCAGTTCACCAAAAACTGAACCCCATCTGGGACTCCTCTATCAACTCACTTCCTACATATATTTAGTTTCTCAACCTGAATGCCTCTCAGGTGCTATCTCTTTAAACTCCAAACCACAGTGTCCCAGTGGAAAGCAACAGTACACACCCTGCTCGCCCCTTGGCAGTTTATAGAGTGACCACTCATGGCTCCCACCTTTCCTCTCTCTCACCTGTATGCCATGACGAAGGCCACCAGCTTCTTGTAGAGCTCCAGAGTGTGCACCTCAGGGTCAAATATATCTGGGTGGTCCTTCAGGAAAGGCAGGATGATGGTGGAATACTCTGTCTGGATATTGGCCAAGTCCTTGTCCACAGCTTCTGGAATCCCTGTTCCTTGCAGAAGTCTCATCTGCTCTTCTTTACTCCTGTACAAAACAGCAAGCAGAAGGTGCAGTTTCTTTCTTTAAGCAAGAAGCCAAGTAAGTGAACAATCAAAATGGTTCCTGTACAGCAGGCTACACTCTCTTGGCCAGAAAGCGGCGAGGCACTACAAACCAGTTGCAGAAGTGGCACCCAAGCAGAAAGTGGATGGAACATCCACTTTCTTTCTCCCTCTTCACTCCATCCATTCTTTCATGCATGCATGCACACACAAACCCCCACACCAAGCACCCTCTATCTCCTTCATCCATAGCCCCATCTTCTCTTCCTCTCCAGACTGGGTGGATTAGCTGTGCTGAAGAAAGTAGAGTCCCCCAGATTGCTCACTTGTGCTGAACAGTATTGACAAGCTGGCTACTCCCTCATCTGAGATCTAGCTATCACCTTGGTATCTGAAAGATCCAATATGTATTCTCAAACCATCCTTGTTTTCCTAATCCGAGACTAGAGTGTGGTTTCTGCACTCTACGCACCTCCCTCACCAAAACACCCTTTCATTATACTACTCTCTACATCACTCCCCACCCCACCCCATCATAAAAAGAAGCACTTATTAACACCAGCTTAATATTTGATTCTCAAGTGACTGTTGTTTAGATGACCCACTCTCAAGTGTTTTTAAACCTATTCTTAAGAAACTGTGAACAAAGAGGTGGAGGTGGGTAGACACAAACCTGCCCGAGGTTCAAACATGTCACCATTATCATCCAGAAGTAAACTAGCCTCTCAATCAAACATCTCAAGCACTACCCTTAAGCACCACCAAGCTGGTAACACCAGTGTCAAAAGTCTTTAATTTCTTCCTATGGAAGAAACTACAGTGCCTGCCTGCATTTTCTGGCATAACAAGGGGGAATGAAAGGCCTAGGACTGGAGTCATGAAGATACGCTCCAGCACAAGCACCTGACCATGCCCAGCCCAGCCTCATTTTCTGAGCTACTGCAAGCATGCTTCACAAGCATCCTTGAGGTGGTTGACTCTGTTCTGGACGCCAAATTTGTTTGGTGAAGATGTGCTGCAACTGATTTACCCGAGGAAGCTGGGTGCTGGCAGAACACAGCCAAACAGTCTCCCCTCTTACCAGAACATGGGGTGATCCAGACCCCTGAAGTTAGGCCACAGTGACAAATAAGGCCCCCAACGAGAATCACTGGCTGTGGATTCATGAAGCAAAGAAAGCAGGAGTGGAACCCAGCCGGACTGACTCTCCAGAGAGGCTTGCTCTATTAAAGGTAAATAAAACAGAGTGTAAGAACGCCAGAACTATTATCTGTTAAGAGAGCAAGCCAAATCAGCCAGAAACCTACGTCCATAGCTGAGAATACAACTCTCCAATCTCACTCAAGGATGACACAGTTTGGGGCATTCTGAAGAATCTGGAAGCTTACTGAGGAGTTTGCTGTTTCCTCCACCCCGTTTACAAGTATCAACATGCACATTCTTCTTTATAGGACAATAGCACAGCCTTCCATCAACCTGGTGCCCTCCAGCTGTTGGACTATAATTCCTATCATTACCATGGCTGGCTGTCAATACTGTACACCATAGGTCAGCAATCTGGGGGCCTCTACCTCCTTTAGCACAACCAGACACATGCAGAGAATATGGATATATTAATAGAGGGTACTGTGTGTGTGCATATGTACTATGCCAAGTGGGGCTGGTGGGAGTTGTAGTCCAATAGCATCTGGAGGGCACCTACTTAGCAAAGGCTATTCTATATGATAGAAAGCACACTGATGCTGGTTGGGGCTGAGAGTTGTAATTCAAAACAGCTGGAGGGCACCTGGTTGGACAGGCTGCCCAATGAACATGAAGCTTTTAATGAAGCTACAGAATCCCCCCAAAACCATTCCTGTACCTTTCTCTAGTAGGGAAGAAAGGGGGCTTGTGTACTGCGAAAGGACTGCCGTTCTTGGGATGGTGAAAAGGACTTCTCCTGCCTCAATGTCTTCCCTGGCCACCAAGCCATAATCAGCTACTGTGCCCTCTCTGCTCACGCTGACCTACAACACAGGAAAAGAAAGTTTTTTCTCCAACTCCAAAAGGTGTTTTTTTTACTACAACCCTTAGTTACAGGTCCCTGGTTAGTGTCACAAAAGCCAACCCTTAATAGTTTAATTACCCTTTTGTACTCACAAGTGTAATCGGGAGTGCTTGGAGCCTGATCTTTATTGTTGCAACAAGACTTCCTACTACCACAAAGATGAAGCAGCCAGAAGCCTAATCAATGGGTTACACCTGTATTTCAAAGTTTCCCAAAGTTTCCCATAATACATCTCAAGATGCATCATCAAGACATAGATATGTCACAGAAAAGGCGTGGTCTCAGGTAGAACCTGAGATCCAGGAATGTCCCTGTCACTCAAATATAGTCTTTCACACTTCATCACAGTACAAAAGAAAGAATTTACAGTTCCCTGGTCACTGAGTCAAGTCAAATGCAACCCTTTTTCTTGCCTGGGCTATCACCAGTCATGACTCCTTAGGAAGGCCCTGCAGATGGATGGGACAGTACATCTTGGGGATTACAGTGGGCTCTCTCACTCCACCCCTTATACCTCACTTCCATGGGTCCTAAATGCCATTGGAACTGAGAAGATTAATACAAGTGGCTTCTTATGAATTTCTGAAGTTTTCCCACTCAGCCAGTACATTTATCAGTGAATTGCTATTTTCCTTTGCTGGAGACCTGGGGTTCAGTGGGGAGTCACAGGCTCCTGAGCTGAGCTTCCCTTGCAGATGCAATGCCTTTGCAGATATGTTGCTGTTATTTTCTCGTTTGGGGGGTGTCTCTCACCCCCCTTCCAATTTCCCAGTAACACAAGTCAGGTAACTAAAGAGTGATACAGCCATTTTCTAACTATTTTAGCTCCCCCAGAGTGGCAATATTAACCGACCATTAGCAGCTGTTAGAATGGAAGCAGGAAAGGAGCCAGACTAGATTAATGCAGAGTAAAATGGTGCTGATTGATGCATGTGAAGTAACAAGATTAAAGTTACTACAAGTCTTAAAACTCCAGGTTTTCATTATCTTATTCATGCCGGTTCCTGTTTGCTGCTGCCCGGTTCCTTTGGATGAATGTTTTTGTTTTAAAGCATTTTATTATTAGGACGGGTGCATATTTACTGCTACAAGTTTCATTTCGGCTTGAATTTTCCGGGTGGTTCTGCACTGCCTTCCGCTCCTTTACTTGCTGGGAACCGCACTTCTTCCCCCTGTGTTGTGTGAGCCGCCTGGGAGTAGGAGTCACCCGCAAAGGGCAGGTGAAATTCAAAGGGAATTTGAATGAACGAAGAGCGGCCTCCCCTTAACACCTGGCCACGGGGCCTCGGCAAGGAAGCCTCTCGTTTCCCCCCCCCCCCGGGGGGGGAATGGAGGGGCCTTTCCCCCTCGGCCAGTCTCTCCCCGCCGGCAGGGGAGACTGGCCGAGACTCCCCTTCGGGCCCGCGGAAACCCCTGGCGGGCCGTACCTTAGCGCTCAGCTCCAGGCCCGCGTCGGCGCACCAGCCCAGGAAGGCGGAGAGGGCGCCCGAGTCACTCGACGCCACCGCCGCCTCCTCCACCTGCGGAGCACAGAGAGAAAGAGAGAGCGAGGTGCTAAGGCCTCCCCGCCGCCCACTAGCCGCCCCTCAGGCCGCGGTCCGGCCGCCAAACCCACCTTGGCGCACTTGGCCGCTTTCGCCATGCCGGACGCACCCGGAACCACGAATGCCCAGATGAGCCTGCGCGCGGGGAAAAGGCTCATCTGACGCTACGGGGCGGAGCCGCAAAACCCCGCCCAGGAGGGAGGGGCTATTTCGCGGTTCCCTGAAGCTGCCTGGCAATTAGGCAGCCGCTCAATTCTCCTCCGTGTCCTCGTAGCAGGGAGTTCCGCTGGCCGCGCGTTAGTTTTTAAGATATCGTTACAAAGCCGCTTTTAGCAACCACGGGCAGTGCGCCAAAGAGCCCTGGGGCGCTTCGCTCCGTCTTCTGCCCCAGCCGGGCTGCTGCTGCTGCTCCTCTTCCTCAGGGGCTCCGACGGTGCCCTCGGTTCTTTCCAAAAGTTAAGCACTTGTGCAATACCAGTAAATTCTGGCTAGAATATATTCTTGAATGGTGAGAAGGCCTCTCACTTGCCTGGATGGAGAGACGTTTGCGTATGTGGGTTTGTATGTATCTGGGTTTTGCACTACTGCAAGGGAGCCTATTGCACAAAGGTTAAGAGTCAAATGTCTTGCTCTTCCCATTTTTGCCTCTGACCCTGCCCATCATTTACATCTGGCCCCTGAAAAGTTCCCCACAAAGGGATCTGGCCCTTGGGATGAAAAGTGTTTCCCACCCCTGAGATATGGCAAAGGGGACAGAGGAAGCAATTGTGCTTTGCCAGGGGGCTGCCCATTCTATCCTCACCTTTCTTTGTGGGCTGTTCTCCTCCTCTCACCCATTTGTTAGAGGAGTTGTTGCTGTTGGATGGGTTCACCTGGAGCGTCAAGGCAAGAAGCAGCAAGTCAGAGCCTTGTGGCACTTCAGAGACCAACACATTTATTATAATGGCTTAAGCTTTTGTGGACAGCAGTCCAGTTCAACAGATGCATGAGCTCATTACATTCTGAGTTGTAGGTCTACATGGTTGAGGAAGAGAACTGTAAACACTGAGAGGAAATGCAGAAGAGCACTGAGGGTATTCTGCTGTTAACAGTTTTAATACTGGTAATTACATTATCTACAGGTTGCAGTCTCCCTTTGAAATTCATTTGTTCCAGTATGTCCATCTTAATGTCAATTATAGCGGGTTCTGGGAAGTGGAAATGTTTCCCCATGTGTTTCTTGATATTGTCATTTCTGATGTCCATTTGTGTCCATTTATTCTTTTGTATAGAGGCTGCCCTGTTGTCTTAAGTAGAGTGCATGAGGACAATATTGGCAGATGGTGGCATATATCACATTGGAAAATATAATCGCTTATGGCAAATGTTTTCAAGCTTTATGGGTCCACGGCTCCCTTGACCAACTACATTCTTTCTGTGGCACCCCTATGGGGCTGAGGAGCCCAATTATGTCACACCTTGCCTGCAGAGCTGGCTGCCCCTCACCCCTTTTTTGAAGGGGAGTGTTCCCTTGTGGAGTGTTTCCTCAGCCTCCTCTCTTCTCCCCTCTCCTTGGGAGTTCTCTGAGCAGCCGCAGCTGCTGCTCCTGGTCTGAGCTGCACCTCATCCCACCCCAAAAAGAGGTGCCTCCTCACACTGCCCCACAGGGGACTGGGGAGCACCCCCTGACCAGTCCCAGAGGCACCATTCATTCACCTAGGGAGCATGTAGCCAGGAGGCAAAGACACAAGAGAGCATCAGAGGGGGGAGGGAAGGAAAGAGGGACAGAGACCAGTGCTGCCTGTGGCACCCCTGACCATCATTCAAGGCACTCCAGGGTGCCACGGCATACTGGTTGAAAACCACTGGCTTATGGATTGAATCAACGCAAAGGAGTTTTCTCACATAGCATGTGTCAACACAATTTTTTGGAGGGGTGGTGCATATAAAAAATATTCAGAGTGCTCTGAATGGGATTTCTTCCAAAGCCCCATTCAAAGTGCTGTGAAAAATAGTCAGAAAAAGGTCACCAGATCTCATTATGACATCAGGTGATTGACAGGTAGGCAGCTCCACCCACCTACAAGTTGCCTCAAGGGAGGTCACAATCTGGCCCCTGGGCTTGGAAGGTTCCCCAGCCCTGATACATTGGATTCTGCTAACAGTAAATACTGTAAATAAATGTGGCACTCATGAATAAGCTGCCGCTTCAACTGCAAAGTGAGTCTGCTTGATCTTAATATCTTTATTAGTTTTCAACACAATAATCCTCTCTACATCAATGGGTTTGTTTGTTTGCCTTGTTTTACATTTTGTAGATATTGTGGCATCAATGCAACCAGAGAGCATCAACAACCATCATGCACAAAAATATTACATTTCACCTCATACAGAAAAAAGAAATCCATTAAATTCCACCTTAATCAGGAAAATGTTTCTTTAAAAAAATCCAATTCCCCCCACCCCCACCCCACAGTAATAGCTAGATCACCTTCAAATGAAAAGCTGCACATTGGTTGCCAATTGCTACAAGTAAATGGCAGGGGTGGAATCCAAGATAAATATTATATATAGGAATTTATAGATCTATCTCATCTGAAAGAAGACATCAAGAAAAAAGGCAACAATATCTACAGCAGCCTCCTCCAACCAGGTGCCCTCCAGCAGGTGTTCTCTCCTGCAACTTCCTTCAGCTCCAGCCAACTTGGCTGTGTGATGCTGAGGAGCTGAGGGGAGCTGTAATCCAACAACCTCTGGAGGGTCCCAGGTTGGCAAAAGCTGATCTACAGTAAAAGAGGGTCCTAGTAGCCTTCAGTCATTCATATTTAAAGTTTAGAAGGAAGCACACAAAATAAAAGAGTCTGAGATTAGAGGATTACATCAAACAGAGAGTGTGTCTGGACTGGTTGTGGCAACATCAAACCATTTAAATGCAAAGATACCTGGCTACGCACACATATATACCCCTTGACGTGCGCACTGTCAGGAGCGAGAAAGTCAGGTGCAAAGCCTGCCGAGTAGCAGAGAGGCGAGACAGAACTCCTCGCAAGCTGCTTGTTGCTCTTTGGGCCAAACCACACTTCAAGCTCTTTGCTTGCGTGGAAACGCAGTGATGTGCAAGATTGGTGATGTGGGTGGGGTGTTTTATCAGTAAAAAGAACTGAGTGTCTGACATGAGATCAGGATGCGGTAAGGATGCATTTGGGATTCAGCAAGAACGATGGGCTGGGTGGTCCAGCAGCAGTTTGGGGAAAGGAAGGAGAAGGGTATATTGGCTCATTTGGAGCCCAGAGTGGCATGGACAAGAGCCTTTCTGGTTTCACGTCAATAGCAGGCTTACAGTAATGCAGAGCGAGTAGGGAGAATCGTCTCTTCAAAGGCATGAATGTGCGGAACTTGAGAAGAAATGCAAAGGCAAATTCTTGCTAACTGTTCCTCCTCAAAACTCACAAAGGGGTTCTGAGATGAACTGAAATGGAAAGACCTCAATAAATTAACAGCCCCAGAGCCACGGGGTGGGGTGGGGGCTGCCTGAGACCTATCCTAGAGGACACACACATTTGCTTCCCTCTGGTTTTGTGGTGCTACCAGAACGGAAATGAGGCACTGTCCCAGAGAGCACTCAGGTGGTTGCGGGGGGATCCTTCAGAAAGTCAGGCAGGACAAAACACAAGATGACATGGTGGCATGCTAGTACGAAGCATAACCACATCGTGAGGGGACAGAGTGAAGGGGCTGGATGCTAGGCAAACAGGGCATCTTTAGAAGTGAGGATTCCGCAAGCCTCTTTACTGGAATTGGGGGAACGTATCCTGTAACGTTAATTAATGCATATAGAATTGCCCCCCTGAGAGCCTCCATCTAATGAAAGGACCAATGGAACTTATGGGTAGCTTCTTGAATATAAGAGTAATTATCATTTAATGCTTATTAAAGAGTCTATTTTTTTCTAAGTGCCATATAGCCATACAGATATTAAAACACCAGAAGACCCCTGCTCACAGGCTCACAATCTACTCAACAGGAAAAGAGTGGGGAGGAAATTCAAATGAACATTGCCTTTTTCTCCCCCCCCCTTAACTGTGATGACATTACAGTGAGTAAATAAATACTAGATGAAATATTTCATAAGGGAAACCACAGAGGCTGCTGTCATGAGGGCGAGAGACTGGGTGCTCCTGTGGGGTCAATTGGAACAATGGCCTCTATCCAGTGCTAGTTCTACTCAGAGTAGAACTTAAGTGGATACAGCATCTAATGTGGACAGGGACAGTTTGGGGGCAGATATCCCAGCACCTTCACATGATCCATCACATCCCTGAGGTGCAGAGGGGGCCACAGACAAAACTTCGGGATCAGGGCCTTCCATGAGGCTACCTGTTTTTTTATACAGGCAGGAGCATGGAGGAGATGTGACCAGTCCCCTATGGGGCCGTTTTGGGGAGGAAGCTCTTTATCCCCATCAACACAAGCCTTACACAGTAGAGGCTGGAGTATGACACCCCCAAGAGTGCCTGCCTAGTTGGGAATATTTGTATGTTTTTATTTTCTGTGTTGTGTTTTAAAATAGTTCTTGTACCCTGCTCCGGGACTGTTGATCAAGAACAGGAAACAAATATTTTAAATAACTAAATAAATGCCATGTTCCTGGGCCCCATTTTCCCTCCTTGAGGCTGGATAAGCTTCTGCTACTTATTCCTGCTGAGCCTAAAAGCATATGCACAACTGAGCACTGCTTTCTAGGGAAGGATCCTGGGAACAGTTATTGTGCAAGAGTATCAAGAATCTACTATTCCTGAGGGGAAAGCCACAAGGGTTAGCATGCTCTAAACATGCGTAAATGTGCCCTTGTGTTTTTGATTCCTGCCACTGATTGTCCTTTTAAAAAAAATTAATAAGCGATGGTAGTGGGGGCAGCTTATATTGCAACAAGTTTTACCCAATGGCCATTTATAGCACTGATTAAAAGGCTTGAGGAAACCCCAAACAAATCCTAAAACCAACTATGACCTTTCCCTACCCCTTATGCTTGGAAAGTCTTGCTGCTCATTCCTAGTATGGGCGGGGGGTGCGCACAACTTCCGACTTTCTGCTTTTGACTGAATTTACATGTAGGGGAAGGAAATGATGCAATAGGACCCCCTGGGTGGTCTTCTACAGCAGCTGGAGAAACGGCTCGACTCTATGTGCATGTTCCTACCCAGTTAAGCCCCAATTTCCGTTGTCTTTCCAACAAAACCTGCCGGCACAGAGTCAGCCACCAAAAAGGCTTTCCAAAGCTGTGGAACTAAAAAGCTTGTGCTCCAAGGCCAAAGAGAAGGGTAGAAACTAAGAGGCATTTGCCTTCAAGGTTGCAATTTCCCTCCTTCCTGAACCAGTGCTGTAAAGTGGTTGGAGTGTCAGACGAGGACCTTGGGCCAGTCACTGCCCCTCTCAAATACCCTACTTCACAGGGTTGTTGCGGGGATTAAACAAGGAGGGGTGAACCATGTATGCCACCTTGAGCTCCTTGGAGGAAAAGGAGGGATATAAGTGTCTGAAAATAAATAAAGTAAGTAAACCACTGCACAGGTACATTGTGGATTAATTGTTGGGCATCTAAGCTGAAGGGCCCATGAGAACACTCTCCCCCTTCTGACTCACTGGGTGAGTGGCTTTTCTGAAGGAGAGGCACCCTGGCTAGGCAGGTGTAAAACATCCCTCCTGCTCGCCTTGCCTCAAGCTGTGCAGAGGGACATGCCTGCCGCTTCCAAGCCAGCTAGAAACCAACCCAAGGGAATCTCCCTGGTTCAAAATGGCACCTGGGCCTATGGGTGGAGGTGGCCGTTGACATCAAGCTGCTGCTGCTGCTGCTTCCCACTCTCCCTATGCCCCCCTCCCAACTTTGTATTCCATAATGTGAAAGGAAAAGAAAGACGGCAAAATAAATTAAAGCCACAGGAAGCCGCAGGGGATGGAGCCAGCTGGAGAGTGACTGGATGAGTGGGCCCTCGAGGTCACCCGTGAAGAAGACGGCGAGGAGGAGTAAGGTGGAGGCCCTCAGCAGGACACCTCCATGGTGTGGTTGATCTGCCCCATGGCCTCGCTGCTCTCCGAGTGGGTACAGGCTCTTGGGCGGTTGCCCCCGCCCTCCACAGAGCTGGCGCTGGTGAGGGAAGCTGTGCGGGAGCGGGCCAGGCGCGTCATACTGGCAGAGGGCACTATGGGGAGAGAAAGAGAGAGAGAGAGCTTCAATGCTTCTGCCAGGGACAAAAAGCGGACCAGGGAGGGTCCGGGTGGAGCGAGCGCCACAAAGACGAGCAAAGCTGCCACAGGAGAGGGAAGAAGCAACATCAAGCCCCTGGCCTCAGAGAGCGCCTAAAGCCCAGCAGCCTTCAGCCACTCAAGCCCTAGCCATGCACCAACTCTTGAGGCGTAAGAACACAAGGGCACAAAAAGAGCTTGCTGGATCATGTCAATGGTCCATCTAGTCCAGCATTCTGTTCTCAGAGATGCCTGTGGGAAACTGGAAACTGAATATAAGAACACTCTCCCCTCCTGTGTTCTGCAGCAACTGGTATTCTAGCATTACTGCTTTGGACTGTGGAAGCAGAGCATAGCCACCATGGCTAGTAGCCGTTGATCACCCGCTCCTCCGTGAATTCATAGTCCAAAACATCTGGAAGGCACCAGGTTGTGGAAGGCAGACAAACCAGCCCAGCAATCAAACCCCAAAGACATGACCAAGCTGACTGTGTGGGAGACAGTGGGTGGCTTGCCAGACGGTGGCTTGTGTGAAGAATTTCAGAATGATGTGCTCTAAGTACAGGAGCCTGCCATCTGCCCTCTCAGCCAACCTGGCCAAAGGCTTGGGATGATGGAGGTCAGGGTCCAGCAACATCTGGAGGGCTGCAAGGAGAAGCCAACCCTGGCCTAAGCAAACAGCCACAACAAGCAGAATGTGACCCAGTTGCTCCCGAAGACTGCAGAGTGCCAAAACACACATGGGGCATGTCAAGCTGCAAAATAAATTCTTCTACCACTGTTCTGAGGCTCCATCACCCCCCCTTTTTTTTTTCTTCCCTCAGCGCTGCAAGAGGCACAGGTGACCAGCAAAACTAGGTAGCAGGTAGGGCTGTGGTGGACAGGGTGGGAAGCAAAGTGACTCTCTGTGCCTGGATGCACCTCCTGCGTGCCCTGCTCTGCCACTGACACACAATCCCCAACATCTCAGCAGCCAAGCAGATGCTTGCAGGAAACCAGCAAGCGGGACCCAAGCACAACAGCACTCTCCTCCTCTGGTTTTCACCAACAGGTATTCAGAAGTATTGTTGCCTCTGGTTGTGGAAGCAGAACAGCCATTGTGGCTAGCAGTTATTGATAGCCCTCTCTCCTCCTATTGATAGCCTTTTCTCCTTTTTGCATGGCCTTATATCCCATGCTGGTCAAGGGCCATGCTGACTCCGTTCTTGTGCATCTGCCCATGAACAGGGCCCCAACTCTAAAGTTCAGCTGAGCACAGGTGTGACGCTGCTGCCAAACAACCTGGCTGTTGCATCTCTCTGTGGGAAGCTGTGACTATCAGCAGGAAGGTATCACACCAACAACACACTCAGGATGCTTTTGGCCAGCCTCCTGAAAGCTGGTACCTCCCAGATGTTTCAGACCACAGCTCCCATTAGTCCCAGTCAGTGTGGCCATAGGAAGCTGGGATTGATAGAAGTTGCAGTCTGAAACACCTGCAGAGCACCAGAATGAGGAAGGCTGCCTTGGAAAGCACAGCGGCAAATCTTTTTTGGGGAAAACTCATCTGTTTCAACAAACACCATTGGAATGACATAGCTGCGCGCTTCCCATAGTGTGTGAGTCATGCTACAGATGCAGCAGGGGGAAGGGCAGATGCTTCTTTTTCTGTCAGCCTCAGTCGCCTGTTTACTTGCCTGTCTCTTTACTGCAGGACCAACTATGGAACCTGCAGCAGAAAAGCACACTCTGTACAGCAGCAATGCACAATAAGGAGAGGATGGGGGCGAGGGGGGTACATGCAGCATGTGGATGTGACAGTGAGCAGACATTGGGGGAGGGGATACCTGATCCTCCACTCAGCCTTCGGTCCTTCAGGTACGCAACTAAGAGAGATATGGAGGGGAGGTTGAGTAGGAGGTGGAAGCAAAGAGAGTCTGGTTGAGGGTTGGGAGGGCAAGAGAGGCTTTTATTTTGGAACATCACACATTCAAGGCTTGTCAGATCAACAGCAGAAAAACAAGACAAGAACATCACAACCGATAACCAGAGAGAGAAAGAAAGAGAAAGAGAAAAGAGAAAGAGAAAGAGAAAGAGAAGGCAGGAAGAATTTCACACATACAAATTATTCCTGCATTGGAGAGATTGAACTAGATGACCCTTTGGGACCCTTCCAACTCCATGCTTCTTTTGATTTTTGTTTATCATTTATTTCTGAGATACCTAATGCCGCTCAGGCCAAGCTCTCCCTGACCAGGGTGATCAGGACTGGGAGAAGAGAAGAACAGATCTGAAATGTTTGGCAGATAACGGGTCTTTAAATCCACACTGAAAGAAGTGCAAAATGCCCTTTGGGTTCTGACATCTCTCTGATGCAAAGCCCTGACCACGCTCCACGTGCTAATTCCCAAAACCATTTATCCTGGAGTTGACTGTGAGTTGTTCTCATGGTGTCACAGACATGCACAGAACTGGGAAGTATCAGGCAAAGGACACCCAAACACACTCATTTCCTTGATCATAAACACACTAACGGCTCGTTGCCTCTGTATGGCACATCCAGCAGGCCACGGCCCTTGATGGAGGAACCTTGTCCAGGAGCAGGCGCTCAACAACAGGGCTAGTAATCTGGAGCTGAAGTGAGGATACATGGGAGCACATTAAATGTGTAGAGACCACACCTACACTATTTAAAGCAGTAGCATTCCAATTGAACAGTCATGGCTTCCCCCAAAGAATTCGGGGAGCTGTATTTTGTTAAGGGTGCTGCTGAGAGTTAACCCCATTCCCCTCACAGAGCTGCAATTCCCGGAGTTCCCGAGGAAGGAAGTATGATTGTTAAACTACTCTGGAAATTTTAGCTTGAAGGGGGGTGGGGGGGATAGGAGTCTTCTAATAGCTCTCATCACCCTTAAGAACCTATGACTTTTTATAATGGAACAATACAGCTTTAAATGTGGTAACAGTCTGAGCTGAGAAGGGCCGGGTGGATCAACCTATATCTAGTATGTGCCAGTTTTGCCAGTGTTTGCTCATAAGTCCATTCTGTCCATACAAAAACCCATATTTAAATACATATTTGACTCTGAATTTATCACAAAATAAAAATTTAAACCCATATGAGTCTTATGTATGCATTTTAAAACATGCTTTATCCTAAAATACATGTTTTGGTACACTCTTTGAGCTGACAACTGCATCATAAAATTCAGATACTGACCAAGTGTGAAATCCAAAGAATTATACTCTCATCCAAATATTATTCTGGGAGGTACAAATTAGACCAGTTCATTACAAATGTAGACAAAAGGAAATTATCCTCTGCTGAGTCACCTGCTTCTACACTCTCCAATTACAAACACATGAACATCTCTTACAATCCCTCAGTTACACAAACACAGTTTTTGAGTACACTGATTCCTCAAACTAGACAAATACTTACTGTAGCCCATCCCTTGAAGGAAGTACTTGAATGCTTCCGTCAGTTTTCCAGGCTGTTCAAGAAATCAGAGGGATGCAGATGAAAAACAGATAGAAAAGCACCTACAACCAGACATTGCAAAAATAGCGGGTGTGGGTGTGTGCATCAAGCTCAGGACATGGATATTAGACACATGTGGATGAGCCCAGTATCTTCTAAATCTGAGCTTTTTAAATTGAGATTCTGTATTTTAAATCCAGTTTGTGAATCTAAATTCTGATCTTATTTTTATTTCTCCTCCTCCTCCCCCTGCCCTGCCCTGCCCCAGTTGCACAAACTCCCCATCACCAAGCAAGGGGGGGACGGAGATATTTGGGTTTTGCTTTGCTTTAAACTGCTTGGAACCAAAATGGGTATTTTCTTCATCCCTGCAACAACTAATTCTAGAGCAGGACGCAACTCAGGGAGTTTTGGGTGAAATAAGGAGAGGTGGGAGAATCCCACCCAGCCTAAGTGCCCAGGCACACCCAGACGGAGGTTTCTGAGCTCCACAGAAGGTCTTCTAATAACCAAGAGCAGGGAGGAAGAGGAAGAACTCACCTGTGTGACTTGAGGGAGCCCACCAGAATCAGCCATCTGGGTGGAAAACAGAGTTTTGAGTCAGACAAGCTTCCTTTCCAGCTGACCAGCCCCCCCCCCCAATTGCATTCACCACCCAGTTATTAGCTGGGGTTGATGGGAGTTGCAGTCCAAAACATCAGCAAGGCAGCAAGTTCGGTTAGGCTTTGAGTACAGTCTTAAGGGGCCCCTGAGTTACTGCTGGGCCTGGCGCCTGCAAATCCCAGCTTCTATTGGCTTCAGTCAATGCCACTCTGTACCAATCAACCAACCAGAGATGCCCACCATCTTTTCAAGATGGCCGACATCCTCAACTAGTGAAGGGAAAGCTAGACATTAGGAGGCTCAGGTGCCAAATCCCTATCTGTTGTGGGTGGGGAAGGCAAGCAAAAGGGCTGCCTCCCCCAGACTCAGAACCCCATTTGGAGAAAGAGAACTGGAAGCAGCAGCAGCTTTTGCAAGCACAAAGATTAAGGGAAGGGCTGACACGCTGTGCTTCAAGTCCTGTCCCTTTTTAGAAAGGCTAGGCTGCCATGATGCCTAATGAACGGCTGTGGATTCTGAAACAGCCTCCCCTCTGCCCTTCCCAAAGGGCAGGAAGGCCCCAGCCCAAGTTGCACCAATCACAAAGTCAGTAGGGGTCTTGTGGGCCAACCTCCCCACGCGCCTTAAATGCAAGATATCCAGAACTAGAGTGCCCCCTGCTGGTGGCCTTCCACCCTGTGCTATAAGACCTCTGTGCAATGCCTGTAGCTCCTATCATCTCCAGAACTGTGGCACATAAGTAAATGGGAGTAAGCATCCCCATCCCCACTGGGTGTCTCAATGGCTCCTATTTCCAATTGGGTTCGGGGGTATAGATACATAAGACATTGCAGTTTGTCTTTGGACCTTAAGAGTCCAGTGGGAGGAAGAAGGAGAGAGCAAATTCTTATGGTATCAAAATCACTTACACAGAATGAGATCTAGGGGTGGGGGAGAGTGGAGTAGGGATTAGGGCTTGTCCTGAAGACTTGCCCTTCCTCTATCTCACCTTCAGGAAAGTGGTGGTGGTTGGATCCAGTTTGGAGTTGCATTCAACCTAACAGACAGCAAAGTCAGAGTTTCAAAATAGCATCAAGTCCAGAAGCACAAGCATCACCTGCCCTGCACGTGGTGTGACCCAGCAGCCAACACAAGCAGCCTCCGAGGTTCAGTACACCATGGACAAAACAAGGCTTTATTTCACCCAGGTCAAAGACCCAGTTTGGAACCCCCTCGCACATTTGTGCACGCGCACGCACAGGCTGGGAGCCTCAATGGCACCCCTCTGGAAGCTTCACCTGGGGCAAACAACCTGGCTAGCCTCCCCATAGCTTTGGCGCTGCAGTAAACCCTCAAAAACAGGAAACAGCAGCAAAATGGTGTACAGCTTTGGCAACAACAATTAAAATAAATAAGAGGAATGTGACATTCTAGTTTTTGACTATGGCTCAAACAGTAAAGATAGGGGGTGTGGTGTAGGGGTTACAGTGCTGGACTATGACCTGAGAGACCAGGGATTCAAATCCCCATTTGGCCATGAAGCTCACAGGGTCATCTTGAGCCAATCACTGCATCTCTCAGCCTAACCTACCTCACAGGGTTGTTGTGAGGATTAGATCAGGAGCAGGTAGAACCATATATGCCACACTGAGCTCCTTGGAGACAAAGGTAGGATATAAATGCAATGAAATAAAAATAATAAAAAATAAGCGGGAAGTAAATGCAATAAACAATAAATAAATAAATCCCCTTAGGAGCCAGGGGGGTTGCAGCTCTCTCTCTCTCTCTCTCTCTCTCTCTCTTTCTTTCTTTCTTTCTTTCTTTCTTTCTTTCTTTCTTTCTTTCTTTCTCTTTCTTTCCCAAAGCTTCGGGGGGTGGGGTGGGAGAGACAGCAGGCAATGGGGTAACAGGAAGTGCTTCATGCTGATGGCTCTCTGTTGGGGTGTTTATCCACCACTGAGTTTCACAAACCAATTTGAACAAAGTGGCCAAATCAGTCACAGTAAAAATAAAATGGAATGTCAGGCTCAGCAGGGTGGGAAAGGCTAGCCTGAAGTCTGCAAAAGCATCCTCAGGAGGCCTCTAGCTTTTCTTAAATACCGTACCTGCCACCTGCCTCCCCCCAGCCTTCAAAGAAAAGACAAGCTTGCAGTCTAGGGGAAGGACAAACCCATGCTATGAGCTTGATCCCAGACACCATTCAAGCAGGGAAGATTAACTCTTTGGGGGTTAGCTCCTTACTCACCACGCCATCTTCGGCCGGTGCATTATCGCCCACCACCAGCATCACAGGGCAGCTGCAAACCCCAAGGGGAGAAACGTGATTAGCAGGAGAGACCTGCTCTGCTCAGGGCCCCTCCTCATCCTCCCTGGAGTAAATCAGTGGCTTACCGGAGTGTCTTGGCGTTCGGGATGCTCCCAGGTCGGTTAATGTCCAGGTCCCTGCGACTGAGAAGAAAATAAGGAATTTTAATTGAAGCAGACAAACATGCAGGGGCTCTGCCACTCTGCTATGTCTGAGTTCAGCAGGACTACAATATTTGCATCACACCCAGAGGTGGAGCAAGGTGGGTGTGGTGGGTGCGGTTGGCCCAGGTGTCATCCCTGAGGGGGGGAAATCGCCCCCCGGATGTTCACCGTGGGTGGCGCACCCCTGTGCATGCCACTCCGGGTGCCAGAGCTGCTAGCTCCGCTTCTGGTCACCTTTTATTTACAACACATTTGTAAAATTCTGCAAGAAACTCTCAATCAAGCATAGGAAATTTGCTTGGTTTTAGGGGATGTTTTTACAATCAAGTACAGTGGTACCTCGGGTTAAGTACTTAATTTGTTTTGGAGGTTTGTTCTTAACCTGAAACTGTTCTTAACCTGAAGCACCACTTTAGCTAATGAGGGTCTCCCGCTGCTGCCATGCCGCCGCTGCACGATTTCTGTTCTCATCCTGAAGCAAAGTTCTTAACCCGAGGTACTATTTCTGGGTTAGCGGAGTCTGTAACCTGAAGCGTATGTAACCCGAGGTACCATGTATATACATTTTAATAAATAAAAACAATAATAAATAGTTTTTTAAAGGTTTTATTAAAAACAAGTTTCATCATAACTGGATGTGAGCTATAGTGCTTGCAAGCAAATTTTAAAAGGGGGGAATTGGGGAGAGTATGGTGGTAGCTGTCTGTTGGGAGGAAAGCATGGTCCAAGATGCATGCAGTTCCTTCAGCCCCTGCCCCTACCTGTTGTACATGTTCCAGAAGAGCTGGAGGTTGTACTGGTTCACCATGCTGCTGATCTGCTGCCGATAGCTTTGCACCAGCTCTGTGTTCCCCACCAGCTCTTCCTGTGGGTGTGGAAAGAGGGCAGACAGAAAGGAGGCCAAGTCAGGGCACCATTGAGGACCAGAGCAACCATTCTGGGCTGGAGGAGGCATTGACTGGAAAAGCACCTCTGTGAGCCCAAGGACTCTGCTGGATCCACTTCTTTGTAGGGCACAGCTCACCGCTTAAGAGCCAGGCTAAAATTGCAGACCCAGGACTCAGCCGTACTTAACTTTTGGCCCACATTTTCCAGAGACAGGTCTGCACTTTAAAGCACCTTGTCTGAGCACTTTTCTTTGCCCCTGACACTTTTCTTGCAAAAACCCACCCTTTGATGCTGAATCAGAACAAACAGCAATTTGGGTTTTCCACAGATTGCTATCTGCTTGGATTCAGCAGTAAAGAGCAGGTTTTTGCAGGGAAAGTGTAGGGGACGACGACGACAAAGCACTAGGATATGGTGCTTTAAAGAGCAGACCTGTGCCTAGAAACACAGCACAAAATTAAGTCTGGTCACCCCTGCAATTTTGAGTTTGCTGAGCAGGCTGGCTGGCTGCCAACCCTGATCCTGGGTAAGGAAAGGCATTTGATACCCTGCCAGAAGGGGTGTGTGTGCTGCAGACAGGTGGCTTTTCACTTGGTTTCATATTCTCTCACACACACACCTCCCAGCATGGTCTCTTTCGATTCATCCTTGGGAAGAGACCTGCGTTAAGTTTTAAAGGAGCCCTGCTACCGTTCAGGCCTGGCTCAGGGCTTTTGTCTCAGCCCTGAAAACGTGTCGTTTTTGTGGGGCAGAACTCTGGATCTCTTTTACAGAGTCTCTGGCATTCTGTTGCTATTGACTGCTGAAACTAAACAGAGACTTCTTCTCTGCCCCAGGCCCTCCACACTTGTAAGCGTCTGCTTAAAATGCAGCCACCTGGAGATCTCTGTGCATCACAGGGTCACCAACACCTTTGGCTTGCACCAAAATATTGCCAGAACCAGGTGGGAAGCTGCATCACAGGAACCAACACCTTGTCAGGATGTGACAACCTCCACCTGGCTGCCTCTCAAGCTCCTTGCATGGGAGACTCAGGCTGCAATGTACTTTTAAAGAGATTCCCCTAGTCATTCTTGGACAGGGCCAGCTGGAGGCTTTCAAGAAGTGTCTCAGTCTTGCCCTTTGACAGCCCCAAAAGCAGAAGGGGGGGGGAGAGAAGCACCCCCACCGCTCCCAGCTCCTTCCATAGCTGTTGCATGCTTCTTACCTGGCTGAACAGGTGAGTCAGAACTGTGTCAGGCAATGTGCTGGTCAGGCCAGAGAGCTGAAAGTTGAAAGCAGAGCATAAGAGTAAAGAATTAATTGCCTTGCAATATCAGACTAACAGTCCACTCCAATGCCCTCTGAACCTGAAGTAAATGTGACTTTCTTCTAAGCCCAACTGACGTTCCACACCTAATAGCTGTTGACAATCCTCTCCTGTTCCAGGAATTTGTCTAGTTCAGCCTTCCTCAACCAGACTACAACTCCCACCAGCCCCAGCCAGCACAGCTGCCTGGTGCAGGGGATGATGCACATAGTCCAAAACATTTGGAAGACCATTAATTGGGGAAGGTCGGTCTAATTCCCTTTTAAGTCATCTGAGCTTTTGAGCCCATCAATGTTATTTTGTGGTCACTATGAAGCCCCAAATTAGATGTGAACTCAGGGGGGCAGGGCGCAGACTAAAGGCAGGCCTCTCCCTCTGCAGTTCAGGGATATTAAGATAGGGCAGTCCACTGTGATGAGCTAAGGATGACTGAGACTTTATGTGCTTGAAATATCCTACAGGTGAGTCAAGAATTTCAGTTAGCTCATCCCAGGCAATGGACTGTCAGGAGTGGACATAGAACCCAGTCACTTGGACCCAAGCCAAGTGGGGAGCAGAACTCTTGGGAGGAGCTGTCTTGTCAGCTGGGGATGGCCAAATGGTGCCCACCTGCCCTCTGTCTCCTGAGATAACCCATCATCACACACCCAACCAAGTATGAGCCATGCTGTGACACCCACAGAAAGGAATGGCAGTGTGCTCGGGTACAGGGCTCCAGGATGGAGAAGCCTCCATCACAAGGCTGGAAAATAGGAGCAAAGGGCCATGGTAACTACTATACAGATCCAGCACTGCACTGAGCCACAGGTAGCTTTATTTTGGGAGGTGTGGGGGTTTTAATTGCCCCAAGAATGGTTGCATGTGAACACACTGCACAACCCAGTAGCCCACTGAAAAAGATCTAGCTTGTCACATTAAATGTGTGAGCAGCTTCCAGGTCTGGCCCTCTAATTAGGCAGAGTGAGGCAGCTACCTCAGGCGGCAGATGCTGAAGAGTGACAGCAGCTAGCTCTTTAGGGGTTAGGCTCTGTGTGCCATTTGCACACTCTATACATCCCACTCTCAACCCTTCTGTGCTAAGTCACTCATTGCCTTCACTGCTGAAGGTTGAACTGCTTTTCTTCTCAAGTTGTGCAAATGGTAAGGAGGGGGGGAGGTCACAGGGATTAAGCAAACAGATGCAAAAATGATTTTTTTTGCACAGGTTATTGTGGTCTGGGATATTTTGAGCAAGAATTCAAAACCCTAGATGGAGATTAGTAAACAGCTGCTCAATTTGTGATAGCACAAAAATGAAAACCCCTACATGCCTGGGTTGGGTTAAGAAAACCCTGGGATTTCTTAATTATGGATCAATTAGCACAGCAACTTAGAAGCCAAGAAAGGAGACAGAAACAGACCATTTTATGAAGGACTGGCAGGCAGTAATAACATACCTGGAAACAGAACCGGTGAATTAGGACAAGCCACATGAGGGCAAATGTACTCATCATTTATACTAATTACCTCAGAATATATTGCTTTCTGTTTGTTTGTTTGTTTGTTTGTTTGTTTGTTTGTATGCTAAGCAAAGCAAACTAAAAGCGAGCAATCAGGGAGGCCATTGTAATTAGATTTTTTATTGATAGGAAAGGAGGGGAATTTTTTTTCACATTTTATGTATTAATGGCAGGTAAAAATGGATAAAACAATAAGTTGCCAACACCTGCCCCCCAAACATGCCCTGTGGCCCCACTCTGTATGGGCTGCTCTGTATGGGTTGTCAAAGGGAGATGCATGAACTTTGCTTTTTGCACAGATGTCCATGGATCCAAAGAGACCTCACTCAGCTGTCCGTCCCCAGCAATGAGTCTACTTGAGCAGCAGCATCAGAAACCTCAATTGGCCTGCAGAGACTTGGCTCTGAAACACACCCAGTAGCGGCAGGGAGGGGAGGCTGTCTCACCTTGGTGGCTGCCCAGTCAATCCAACCTTTGCCATTGGGGTCCACATTGACCAGAACAAGGCCTTCAACCAGATCTGGGAAGATCAGCTAAATCAAAACAGATAGACAGGCAGATTGAGTTTATTCTGGCTCACAGATGTACCCACTGGGACAGAGAGGTAATTAGTAAGCATAAAAGCGAGCATCATAAAGCAAGCACTATATCTTTAGAATATAAAAATACAAATACACTGATTGGATAACCTTCTCTAGCCTTCCCCAACCTGGTGCCCTCCAGATGCTTTTAGACTACGACTGCCATCAGCCTCAGCCAGCGGAGCAGTGCTTTTCTGGAACTGATGGGAGTTGTAGTCTAAAACATTTGGAGGGCACCAAGTCAAGGAAGGCTGCTCTGTCCAGTAACAAGGCACAGTCAGTCCACTTCAGAGCCACAACTTGAGACTTCCCTGGGGAGTTAAGAAATCAAAGGGAGGGGTGGAGAAAGCCCTTTCTCTCCAAAGCCCTGAGCTGCAAGTCCCAGGTCACTTCAAATAGGAATTGCTGGTACTATCACTCTTCTTACCCGGCAATCAGCTTCATTGAGTAAGCATGCCAAGGATCAGACTGCAGGTCCCTGCCCTGGAAAACACCAAAAATGGTGCTGGGCCTTGATAGTTGTTTTTTTTAAACCCAAAAACCCTTGTCTGGCTAGGATGCAGGACACACCCACCCACCATCTGATCACTTACAGCAAACTTGGCAAGGACATAGGCGCCTGCTCCCACACCAATCCCGATCACATACTTGAACCTGTGGAAAGAAAAGTGATCAGTGGTCCCTAGGCAGCCACTTCCCTTCCTTCCTCCCACTGGTGGACTTTCGTGGCTGTCCTTCAAGCCTCCTTCACTCAACTAAAGTTTGATGCTTCGTGTTTGATGCCAAATATCTTAATCATAGAACTTTTATAAGACAAATACTGATTTATTTCCTTCCAAGCAACTCATTAACCAGATCTAAAATATTCCTCAGCTTTATCAGTGGCAATTTATCCAATTACTTCATCCACTGTTCACTCATGCCATCATTTTCTCCATCCTGCTGCCTTCTGGATGGGTTGGACTACATCAACCCCAGCCAGAAGGACCAGATGGTGTTGGGGAAGATGGGAACCAGAGTCCAAAACATCTAGAGGGCAAGAGGCTGGCAAAGGTATGATGCTTTTGCTCCCAGCTAAATTAAAAACCATCCTCCTCCTTCCACTGCCTCCCTAGGAGTCCTGCCCCATCATGTGATTTCACAACAAGGACAAGTAGGTCACCCAAGGCTCAGCTCACCCAAAGTGCTGGACGACACTGGGCAGCATGGCAGCTAACTGGTCCATGGAAGGATACTGGTACCTGTGAAGACAAAAGAGGAGAGCCAGGACACAATGTTGATGTCTTCTCCTAGCATGATGGAGGAGATCTGAGGGAAAGACCGATCGGGGACTAGGGAAGCACCCCTCTTTTTGCTCTTCTCCTTTGGAGAAGTCCCCATCCTCTGGGTCAGTTCTGGACCTCTCCTTCCTCCCCCAGTCACTGGGGGTGTGGGACTGGCCTGATTCAGCATCTGAGCTATTGGTTGCCCATGCCATTTACCCTTAGAGAAGGTCCAGCCGTGTTTGCCTTGAACCAGGGCCAGCTCACATGATCAACATGACTGATACCCTGACTCATGACAGTTATTCCTCCCAGGAAGAGTTGATATCAGCATGCAATGAGAAGGTCATCATCCACCACAAGTTTCACATCCTCACTAGGTTGCCAAGTTACAACCATCACCACAGCATGACCCACAAGGGAGTATTTGAGGGACTCCGTTTAAGGCAGGGATGGAGAACCCTGTGCCCTTCCAGATGGGGTCCAAGTGCAATTCTCATTGGCTCCAGCCCACCTGGCTGACGGCTGGTGATGACGGAAGCTGAGGTCTGACAACGCCTAGAGGGCCACACGTTCCTCATCCCTGATGGGAAACCTGGCCAGGTGTGGCCAGCTGTGCTGGAAGACAGGTGTAGCAATGATGATCAAGCAATCCCATAACACAGCAAGAACAGAGTGTGTCCTAGACATTTCAGACTACAACTCCTATCAGCCCCAGCCAGCTCGGCTGTATGATGCTGGCGGATAATGGGAGTTGTAGTTGTAATCCAAAATGCCTGGGGGGGGCGCCAGTTTGGGAGAGGCTGCTCCATGGGAGGCACCTACCCCTGAGGGAACTGTGAGGCCCCCGCCTGCTGCCCAGGAGCATCCACATGGCAGACCACAAAGTGCTTGGTGATCTCTTGCATATCCTCAAAGTTGAAGAAAGTGTTGAAGCAAAGCTTGTCTGCAAGGGAGCAAAGTGGGGGCGGGAAGAGAGACAGAGTCAAAGTCAACAGGACTCAGGACAAAAAAAAAAGGTTGCAAAGCTTGAGGAACAACAAAGCATGTCCTTGGAAATAAATTCTGAGCACTGGTTGCCCCGCCCTTTATTTTATTATATTATTGTATTTATAGCATTTATAAACCATTGTTTCCTCCAAGGAGCTCAAGGTGGTGTGTGTGGTTTTCACCTTCCCATTCTATTCTCACAACAACCCTGTGAGGTAGGCCCAAGGTCACCCAGTGGGCTTCAGGGCTGAGTGTGGATTCGAACTCCAGTCTCCCAGGTCACAGTCTAACACTCTAACCATGAACACCACACTGGCTCTCCTGTGTGACCTGTTTGTGCCCCAATGTCAGCCAGGTGTGGGGAGGAAGAAATACTCCTTTCAAGCTGTTTCTGCACCAGTGTAACTGCCTAGTGCTGGGAAACCATCATCCCTGGCCTTCAGGGGCCTAGTTGTCCAACTAACAAGGAACCTGTGAAATTGCTGGGTACTTAAAGGGGTTGGAGCATGACACAAATTTGCATTTGTTCATTGTTATGTATAAATGTAGATTGAATTGAAAGGTTAACTGCACTGGCACCAGAGCCCTCTGAAGAGACACCTCTGCCACCAGACACAGGTGGCTTTGAGAGGTCAGGGGAACCCCTAAAAGGCAGTCCCCAGAGCCTGAAACAGTGGTTCCCAAACTTTCCTGGCCACTGTGTCATTGGTTCCATAAACTGCTCGCCACCCCCCCCCACTACTCCCCACTTTGGGAACCACTGATAATGCCTCACAGCCTCACAGCCTTTTATTTGGCCAGATGGCACACCCAGAGGGTGGTGCTTCCATCTTGACTACCACACCCACACACTGAAGCTCTGCCAGCTCATCCAAGACTCTGCTGAGGCAACTTATGTTGCCTGCTTCAACCATAGCCAGCAGCGCTAGCCATGGGACTTGCAGAAGGCCTGGCCTGCATTCCCCAGCTGCTCTGGGGGACCATGCCTACTGATCTTCCCCTTTCTCATGCCCACTCCTTGCCTTGCTGGTGGAGAACACCATGCGCCAGTCCTTGCTGCTGAGTGTGCTAACCTTTGGAGTTTCCTACAGAACAGACTTCAACCTCCAGATGTTGGTGGACTCCAACTCCCATCAGCCCCAGCCAGCACAAGCATATGATGCTGGGGTTGGCGGGAGCAAGCCATGCTGGCGCGCGCACACTTTAGGGCAGCCTTTGCCAACCTGGCGCCCTCCAGGTGTTGGACTACAACTCCCATCAGCCCCAGCCAGCACAGGGTCATCTAGTGCAACTCCCTGCAACACAGAAACACATACTGGACTGCAATGGTTTGGCATGGAAACAAGGTCCCTGGTCCAGCTCTGCTCCCAGCGCAGCCTAGAACAAGCCTGCAAGGAATCAGCCTGCAGCTTTCGATTCTGTTCTCTTGACAGCTTTTTTCCTGCCTCTCTCCTTTTTCAGGCTGTGGCAGATCAGCCTCCCAGCCACCTTTCCTGCAGCCCCCCTCTCCCTCTGCAGCATTCCAAGGTGACCTTTTTGGACAAGCAGCAGCAGTTTCATGCCGAACAGTCACATGACCGCCGCCTCCTCGCCCAGCCACATCTCTTCTCCTCCCGCCCCCCAGCAGCAGCAACAGCAGCCTCTGCCACCAGCCAGCCTCTGCCAAAGGCACAGGGCAGCAGAGTAGGCCTGATCTTTCCTGGTCAGTTAGTGACCAGTTTGAAATGTCAACACTTGCCATCTGCACTGTCAGAATCTTGGGTTGCAGCTCAGTGGAAAAGCAGCTGCTTTGCCTGCAGAATTCAATCACCAGCATCTCCAGGAAGGGCTGGAAGAGATCCCTGCTTGAAGTCCTGGAGGGCTGCTGCCGGTCAGCGCAGACAACACTGAGCTAGATGGATCAAGCTGTCTGACTCAAAATCATAGTTTCCTATGTTCCTTATTGTTATGATTGGGGAGGCAAGCTCCACATTCAGTGAAGGGTTAGAGTTTGAGAAGACTCCAGCTAATGGATTCCTGAATCCTGGCTGGAAGAGGCTGCACTGAGAGATCAGGGGCCATAACTGGCTGTTGCTTTGGAGCCAAGTTTGCTGAAGCTATGAGAGAAGCATTGAGGGACACTCTTTGGGTGTGATGTTCTGCACCCCCTCTGTTGAAGGCTCCAGGTGTAAATATGTGTGAACAAACCATATTTCTAAGACACGGAAGACTTGGTGCCTTGATTTTGCAAGGGAAATTTGCAACCACCATACTCAAATTGTACAAGACATTCATGGGCACACAGGTGACAGCGGGCATAAGGAACAGGACCCAATTAAAGCCTCCAGCTTTAATTATTCATTTAACAAAATTTATGCACTTCTTGACTGAAGTAAAATCTCTAACCAGTTTACAAAAAACATTAAAATTATCGAGAAAGAAAAACAGTTTAAAATAATTAAAACAGCCAAAAAAGATTAAAGGGTGTCAGCATCTACATGTGTGGATAGCTGCCTTAAATGAAAGTTATACCCAGGCTCTGAAAAGAGTACAGCGAAGGGCCTCCTTGATGTCAAGAGGCAGGGAGTTATTTGTTTGTTTGTTTGTTTGTTTGTTTGTTTGTTTGTCTCAATTTTCATCTGCCTCTTGATCTGCTGGACCAGCCTAGTCTAAGAATAAATGCAAGAATTTATACCCTTTTTTGAAATACTCGTTTTATCTGAGGAAGCGTTTCGTGTAGTTCGGAAGCTTATGTCACCTTCAGACTTTTGGCTGGCCTAATCATAGTTCTCTACCCAACTCTGTGTCTCTGTTTCTTGGTGACCAACTAAAATCGGACCCCTCTCTTCTGCCTCAAAACATCTTGGGACTCGCAGCCCCACAAGTGCAAATCAGCCAAGGAGGCCTCAGGCACTGAAGTTGCGGCCTGCTGCCCCCATCCTGCTCCTTTCTGGTGCCCAAACCATAAAGCACAGTTGGTTCAATCAACAGCAACTGAGAACCTCCCACCCTTTGGTGGGGTTACTCCTCTCCTGCCTTGGTCAGAAGGAAAGTGCTGCACTTACGATTGAGTCCCACATCATGGTACGTCAGGAGAGCCGGGCGATTTCCCTTCGGGGACCCCCGAATGACGACATGCAGCAGCCCATATGGAGTCTCGATATCGTGCTCCTGGAGGAAAGATGGAAGAGAAAGAGTTGTATCAGTCCTCCCCTGGCAGGAAGAAGGGTCCAGGTGCACATCGATTGATCCGCTTCAGAATGGAGAAAGAGGCACCCCCATCTTCTCTCTCCGAGTCCCACTTTCCAATTTTCCCTGTGGAAGGCACTGCTGCTTCCATGGTCAGCCTGTTTGTACTGTTAGAAGAAGCCAGTCCCCATTTTCCCATAAGACCTCAGAAGTGTGGAAGCCTAGCTACCCTGCCCATCCTCTTTGTGTGTTTCCAGGGCCACCACAAAAGTCATCAGCAAGTATGGTGGAGCAGTTAAGAGTGTCAAACTAAGACCTGGGTTCAAACCCTGCCACCCTCTGCCATGAAGCTCACCAAGTGATCTTGCGCCAGTCACTGCCTCTCAACCTATCCTACCTCACAGGGTTGTTGTGTGGATTAAATGAGGAGGAGGACTTGAGCACCTTGGAGAAAAAGGTGGGATATAAATGCAATGAAATAATAAATATATATATAATAAGTGGGCAGAGGGATGAACATCCATATCCTGCATGGGATAAGTGGGGTTCCCCTCTCGTAAAACACACATAGTAGCAATCTACCTCATGGAGCTGCTGTGAGAACAACCTAAAACACCCACTTTTTAAAAGGACTCCCTGAATGATTATAAAAATGATGCAAATAGACTGCAATTTGTTAAGTTGAAGTGATACATTTCTAGGATGATGGCCTAGGGTAGTCAATTCCAGTAACGATGTGGGAGCCAGTAGATCAGGGACCAATTCATCTGCTCTATCACACCATGGACCCACAAGAAAGAGAGAGGCAGAAAATGGGGGTCAAACAGCAGCAAGGAGGAAGCCAACTTCCTGCCAGGATGAATCAAATGTATCTAAACATAGCTGATGATGGGGCATCTGACTATGGGTCCCTAGTGACCCTGGCCTAGTGAAATTATTCAAAACAGAAGGTTGTGATCTGTCCCTGTCCTGAGAGGCTGGGCACCAATGCCCCTGATGCCAACGCATGAGTATAAAAGGGCCACAGTGCCAACAATATTCAGAAATATTCTAGTGGCCCAAAGGACTCAAGGCAGGGATTGGGGCCCTGCTGCCCACTTGGAAGAAGGCAATCCAGATCTATTATTAGCTATTGTTAATAATAATAATGTATATCCTGCTTATATGCCAAAATGGCTTCTAAGGTATTTACAACTGTAAGATCAAACCATAATTAAAATACGGAATAATATTACAACATCTTTAATTAAAATACACAATAAAGCCAAGCTATGGGAAAACATAACCATTAAAACAATTGTAAACAGAAACAGCTAAGCCAATAACCTGGGAAGCTGTTCCAGGCCCCTGCTCATGGCAGCTCCCCTGTTCTGTTCAGTTCTACAATATCCCAAATTACACACACACATTCCAAATGCAGTTGCAAAATAAAATTGGTATAGTTTTCCCCAAGCTGGTGTCCTCCAGATGTTTTGAACTACAACTCCCATCAGCCCCAGCAACATTTGGCCATATTGGCTGATGCTGATGGGAGTTGTAGGTCTGGGGCAGGAAGGGTAGCATGAAGGCATTATCATTCTGCCTTTCCTGATAATCCCTAATATGCTATTCAGCTTTTTTCATAGCAGCCACCATCCTGGTCAACATTTTCATTGATAAAATGGATAAAAATACTTTTAAGGCATACATGAATCTATCTCTGTAAGCTGCTTAGAGGATTTGCTTACAGCTAAGGGATATGCAAATTTTGTCAAATAAAATTAAAATGAGACAATTCGACTAGTATTGAGGTAATGTTTTTGAAACCCGTTAAAAACCTGAAAGTGCTGCAGAATAGCTTAGTATTGTTATTCTTTATTCTTCTACTAGCTCCTAGCCATGGTGGTTCCACAGTTGAAGGCAGTACTGCTCCTGAATAAGAGATGCTGGAAGTCACAGGAGGGGAGACGGCTCTTGTGCTCAGAGACTGCTTTCTCATGGTCATCTGGTTGGCCACTGAGAGAACAGAATTCTGGACTGGATGGGCCCTTGGCCTGATCCAGCAGGCTCTTTCTATGTTCTTCCAATTATCTGGAGCCAAGTTTTGGCAGTGGAGCCCCTTCTCAGGGCCAGGTCTTTGTTCTGGAACATCTTCCTGTTACATGGGATACGCTTTGGTATGGTTCGGCCTCACGCCATGCCAGTTAAGCTCTAGGGACAGCAAGACAATGTGGCTCCTTCTCACATCAGCATCTCACAAGCATGACCTGCATCACTTGCGACCAGACAGTGTTGGCAGAGGTTCTCATGCTGTGGTGGGAATATTTCCTTTGGGCTTCAGAACATGTGCAGGCTGCCATTGCATGAATGAGTAGCTCCAAATAGCTTGTACATACCTGGGGTTGGGGGCGGGGGGGGGGGGTTACCAGGGTGGAAGGTGTCAATTCCAGAAGCTCCACCACCTCTCATTTTTTATATTGTACATCTATTGCATCTCTGTTTTGATATAGTCTATTGCATTTTATTGCTCTCTTGCAGAAAAATGCAGAATATAAATTAGATAGATAGAACATTAAAAATGAGGCCATAGATAGGGCATTTGGGATGGGAGAGGCCAGCAGCTCTGCAACACACAGAATCCTCCTCTGGGTAACAAATGCCCAGTTTGCCCTTCCCACTCCAGAATGGGGAGGGGAAGGGAAGAGAGCCCCTGAAACAAATGCCCAGAGTGCCCCAGGCTCCTATACTTACTCTCACGTAGTACCCTACTCAAGACATCCTCACAGCCTGTCAGATTGGGCTACGCGGCCCAGCGGTCTGACTCAGTACTAGGCGACTCACAGCTCTTCTGAAAGACCAGCTTCACCGGGCTCCTCCCTCAGCTGACCTCTACAGCAGCCATTTCAACTGGCAATAGCAGATGGGGAGAGATGGAAGCAAGGAAGGGCAAAGAGAGACCAAAGTGGTGGCGGCGGAGAGGCAGCCATGCCAGAAAGGAGGGCAAGAGGGGGAGGAGGAGGTTGGCCCTCATGATCCAGCAGAACTCATGGCTCACCAGCAAACTCTCCCCACCGAGACCCACAGAGGAAGCTGCATATTTTAGAAGCAAACGCCTTTTGGGGGGAACACTGTAGATTAGAGGCAACAACACCCACACAGTCTATACCCCCTACTCCACCCTGTAGCAGGGGAGCAACCAAAAAGCTGCTGTAAAGAGCTTGGCCTCCCGCTTCTCCCCTTCCAGTCCCACCACCATCTTTGAGGAGAATCAGGCTGCTCTTTCTTCCCTTCATCCTGGCAGGTTTAGCCAAGATTATCCCCACATCTTGGAAGTGGAGTGAGATGCCTGTCAAGAGCATCAGCAGTGCTGGGGAGGGGGGGGAGGGAGGGAGGGAGGGAGGGAGGGAGGGAGAGAGAGAGAGAGAGAGAGAGAGAGAGAGAGAGAGATCCCTGTCAAGGGCAAGCTTTGCTCAAGGTCAAACAGCAGGGCAGAGCTGAAAGGCAAGGCAGCCCTCCAGATGGACAGCCCTGACTCAACTCTGCCTCCAGGCTCCACCTGCTCTGCCCTTGATGGGGAAAGCTCTGTGGGGCTCTGGGGAAGAAGAGTTTGCCAGGGGTGGTCTCAGCAAGGACAGAGAGAAGTCTTGCCTCAGCTTCATGGCACCAAAGATGTTCTCCTCCTGCTTTGCAAATGAGTCCTGACACCCAGCGCAAAGCCACAAATGAGGTTCTCTTTCTCCCCCCACCTCTGCAAGCCAGGCAGGGAGGCTCTAAGAGAACAGACAGTAGGAATGGGAACAGCGAGGGAAGGAGGGAAGGAGCTGTGTACGTGCCAAAAGGGATGCTGGGTGTGCAGAGAAAATGGTGCACTTTCTCTCCCCAGATGCCACACATGCCCTTTGCAAAGCAGAGAGGTGACACCAGGTAGCAGAACCTCTCGCCCATCTGCTGGCTGGGTGCTTCAGACACAACAGCAAGGAGGGAAACTGCAGGAACCAGCCATGGATTATCCCCCTCCTCCTCCCTTCCCCCAAAATGCCTGCAGCCTCAGCCCTTGTCACTGCAAAATGAGGAGATGCTTCCCCTGCCCGCCCAGGGAATCCACAAAGGTTTCCCATGCCCTGTCTCCATAGTGCACCATCCAAGTCTGTGATTGTCCCAAAGGGAAGAAGGAACAAGAGGCTTGGTCCATCCTGTGGACCCCTTTCCCCTCAATGCCAGGTTGAAGCAATCGCAGAGTGTGCTGGAGCCAGAGCAGAATGCCTCTCTGCTTTGCCACAAAATGCCTACACACATCTCCTGGCATTTAAATGAGAGGGCAGGACCTCCAGGCCAAGCTGGTCTTTGGCACTCGGAATGCATCATGCCTTGATTTCTCCTTCCATGGCTGCAAAGGGAAAAGCACCACCCGCCTTCTAAGAGAGGATGGCCCAGGCTGTCCTTCAAGGCTCCTACCTACCACACGTGCTCAAGGACTAGTGCAGATCCATCCCCCTCATATTGGACTGTGTTAAGCTGGGGCAGAAAACATCGAGGTTAAGGAGCAGGCTGGGGTCTCCAGTAACGTTGGGGGGGGAATGCCCCCTCCCCTTGCCCAGCAGTGGCATGCAGCAGCCCCACCACCTGCGCGCGCGCGCACACACACACACACACACACACCCCATCTTGCCTGGCTGAGCTGTACCTACCCCATCCCAGCACTCTGGCATGGTGAGCTGCCTTTCTTCTTCTGAAGGAGAAGGAGCAAGAGCAGCAGCAGCAGCAGCAGCAGCAGCAACGTCCTCCTCTGCCTCTCTGGCCACTTCCAGCTCTAGACAGGCTCTCCTCTCTCTCTTTCAGCTGGGAAGATGCACAGCTCTGCAGTGGGCTGGCCTCTTTCCACCGGCCTTGATAAAGGAGACCCACCCCCCTGGCTTAACTCCTCCTCCTCCTCCCCAGCTCACCAGGGAAAGATTGGTTTGAAGCATTCTACTGCTCAAATGGAGCCCAGTGATAGGCAAGGG